TATATTTTTTTAATAAAAATATTTCAAAAAATTTATAAAATAAATTATATTTTTAATATACAATTTAAATTATAATACATCAATCTCTAATTTTTTTAGTCTTCTATGTAATTTTTTAAAATTTTATTTTAAGAAAAGATATTCACGATTTATGAACATCCATTTCAAATGTACCGCCGACGCTTCCTAGCATGGTCCGCTCTTTTTCTCATCACAAACTCAAAACTTTTATTCTTCGCAGACGCGCCACCGCCGTTTCGCTCTTCTCCACTGTTTCCTCCTCCACCGTTCCTCTGATCACCTCCACTCTCCTCCAGCAATGCAAGTCTCTCTTCCAGGCCAAACTCATCCATCAGCAACTCCTCATCCAAGGCCTCACCGACCAGCTTACCACCCACCTAATTTCAGCATACATCGCCCACAATGCACCTTCCACTGCCATACCGCTTCTCGAGCGCCTCGTCCCATCAGCTGCGGCGGTTTTCTGTTGGAATTCTCTTATTCGTCGCTCCGTGACCCTCGGCTTCCTCCATGATGTGCATTCTTTGTTTCTCAGGATGCAGAGGCTTGGCTGGCGGGCTGACCAATACACCTTCCCTTTCGTTCTTAAAGCCTGCGGCGAGATTCCGTCTTTTGGCCGAGGGGCTTCCGTTCATGCTCTCGTTTGCGGTTACGGGTTTGAGTCCAATGTCTTTGTTTGTAATGCGATTGTGGCAATGTATGCCCGGTGTGGCGCATTGGAGGACGCGAGGCAGATGTTCGATGAAATGTGTGGGAGAGGGGTTTGTGATGTTGTCTCATGGAACTCCATTGTATCTGCTTACGGGCAGATTGGCAAGGCGAGGAAAGCGCTGGAGTTATTTTATAGGATGACTGATGAGTTTTTGGTCCGCCCAGATGTTGTTAGCCTTGTCAATGTGCTTCCTGCTTGTGCTTCTCTGGGCGCACTGTTGCAGGGCAAGCAGGCCCATGGTTTTGCAGTGAGAAGTGGCTTGGGTGATGATATTTTTGTGGGTAATGCTCTGGTGGATATGTATGCCAAGTGTGGAGTGATGGAGGAGGCAAAGAAGGTTTTTGAAAGGATGAAAATGAAGGATGTAATTTCTTGGAACACCATGGTTACTGGGTATTCTCAGATTGGTGGATTTGATGAGGCTCTTGGTTTGTTTGAGAAGATGAGGACAGAGAAAATTGAGTTGGATGTGGTGACTTGGAGTGCTGTCATAGCAGGGTATGCTCAAAAGGGATACGGTCCCCAGGCATTGGATGTGTTTAGGCAAATGCAGCTGTCTGGGTCAAAAGCAAATTCTGTTACACTTGTCTCAGTCCTTTCAGGTTGTGCTTCAAGTGGAGCATTACTTCAGGGTAAGGAGATTCATTCTCATGTCATCAAATGTATTTTGAACATTGATGAGATTGATCAAGAGAATTATCTTTTGGTGATAACTGCTCTGATTGACATGTATGCTAAGTGCAAAAGTATCAATATAGCCCGTTGCTTATTTGACTCAGTTGCGACAAGTGATAGGACCGTTGCTACTTGGACTGTCATGATTGGAGGATATGCTCAGCGTGGGGAAGCCAATTATGCATTAGAACTTTTTTCCGAAATGTTTCAAGAACATAAAACTGTGAAGCCGAATGCTTTTACCTTATGCTGTGCTTTGATGGCTTGTGCTCGTTTGTCTACACTGAGGCTTGGTAGACAAATACATGCATATGTGTTTCGCAATCAATATGAATCTGCATCAGTGCTTTTCTTGGAAAATTGCCTTATAGATATGTATTCAAAATGTGGGAATATTGATGTTGCTCGAGTTGTGTTTGATAACATGCAGCAGAAAAATTCCGTTTCTTGGACATCCCTATTGACAGGTTATGGTATCCATGGCCGGGGTGAAGATGCTATTGCAGTTTTTGATGATATGAGGGTGGCAGGTCTGGACCCTGATGGTATAACCTTTCTGGCTGTGCTCTATGCTTGCAGCCATTCACGAATGGTCGATCAGGGAGTCAGATACTTCAATAACATGCATACAGAGTGTGGGGTTGTTCCTAGTTTGGAACATTATGCTTGTATGGTTGATCTACTGGGTCATGCTGGTCAATTGGATGAAGCCATAAAGCTTATTGAGAGCATGCCTATGGAGCCAGCCCCAGTAGTGTGGGTGGCCTTACTTAGTGGCTGCAGGATTCATGCAAATGTTGAACTTGGGGAATATGCTGCAAACAGATTGATGGAATTGGAGTCTGAGAATGATGGATCTTATACACTACTTTCAAACATATATGCCAGTGCCAGGCGTTGGAAAGATGTAGCACGTATCAGATCTTTGATGAAATATACAGGGATCAAGAAAAGACCAGGCTGCAGTTGGATTCAAGGAAAGAAAGGCACAGCAACCTTCTTTGCTGGTGACAGGACTCATCCAGAGTCGGAACAAATATACGAGCTTCTTGCAAGCTTAATTCAACGCATCAAAACCATGGGATATGTTCCAGAGACAAGCTTTGCACTTCATGATGTAGATGATGAGGAGAAAGATGATCTTCTCTTTGAGCACAGTGAGAAATTAGCTCTGGCCTATGGCATTCTAACAACAGATCTGGGGTTGCCTATACGAATCACCAAGAACCTGCGTGTCTGTGGTGATTGCCATAGTGCCATTACTTACATATCCATGATTGTTGAACATGAAATTGTACTAAGGGACTCAAGCCGTTTCCATCATTTCAAGAACGGATCTTGTTCTTGCAGAGGATACTGGTAATGCTGAATTATTGATCTTGAAGTATCAAACACAATTATAGGGTACATGCCTAGTTTATTAAACAGTACTGGGGAAATACCATTAAAAAAAACAGTGCTGGAGAGATATTTATATTTATTAATCTACACTTCGGTGATTGTATTTGTTGAGCAGCTCTATTTTGGATAAATTTCCTGACTTCCTCAATGAGCAATTTGGACTCTGGCAAGTCTGGCATAGAATAAAACACCTGAAAAGCATTTGGATGGTCAACTAGAAATGCTTCTTTTCCACATTTAATTAGTCCATCGGAGTACCTTATTTGCCAGTCATTTAATGGATCTAACCGTCCTATGACCAAAATGGTTTGCTGGGAACTTTAATCTGGAAATATTTGCTGATCTAGGCCCAAAAACATTTGCTGCTGGATGGTTGCCGTCAGACCCCTCTGGAAGGCTCTCCACGAGCGGTCTGTCCCTTGCACTGAAATAAATGGAGTTTCTGTCAGCTTCATCTCAGATTCTGTCCTCTACTCACTGCCAAAAAAGGGTTGTATCGCTATAAGTCTGATAAGGTCCAAATTGTTGAACTGGTAATCACAGGCTCTTACTGCTACATGATGTGTTATGTTCTCACCAGTATTGTCTCTAGCAATATAACACTGTTTCAGATCGGCAAATGTCGGGAAGTTTTCTAAGCCCGTGTTCTTGTCCATGAACTTCAAGACATCCAAACCGTCTTCATACTAGCTTGGACACTTATGCTCCGGTGAGAGCCTATACTTGACTGACATGGTCACTGCAGGAATTTCTCGAGAGAGTCTTCTGCACAAGTTACACATCCAAAGGAATTTGTGTTCATCCTGGTAAAGCCACCACCATGGAAGTAGAAGATAACCAGCATTTTCACTTTACCACAGCCATCTTCTGTCTGTGACGGAATGTAAAGTCTGAACCAGAGGTTGTGGGTAGCATCAACAGTGGTGTCAAACGTGCTTACACCATTAATCGATTCCCTGGAAGGAGGGGCTTTGAAGTCAAAGAGGTTCTTTGAAGTCAAAGAGGTTCTTGATCTCCCGGTTTATGATGCCATCAGAACGGCAAGAGATCCCGATGCCAAAGACAATGATGGACTGGTAGAGCCTGATCTTCCATGAAAGGTTCCGTGACAGATTTCCAGACATCGCTCACTTCCTGAGGTTTAGATAGTTATCTGACTCTCCACACCCAGCTTTAAACATATGCAGGTTGATCGGCAGAAACAAGAAGAAATACATATTATGCATCAAAAAGGGGGCTGTTATGTTCCGCTTAGACATTTATTAATCATATTATGCAAACAATGACAGGTAGCAAAGTATTATAAAACATCGAAGAATTGGAATAAAAGTTGCCGAAATGGGATTTTTCTTCAAGCTTTCTGCACCATTTAGCCCTGAAATTTTCTCTGTAAAGGTTGTCTTTGGGTAGTGATCAATAGATTTTTATCTCAATGGAAACAAAATTTTTATCTTCTGTTTTTTGATTTTTTTTTTTTTCTGTCATGGAAACAGGAATGTATTTTTCAGTGGTTAGCGGTGACAGCACAACCAAAAGCTGTTATACGGTCTGGATTATACAAAAGCAAAACAGTGGACTCACACTATAAACCTTTGTTTTTGACACATTAGAGAACCAGCAGTGCAACTCTGACTACAAGCCTAAAACTTTACTAGCTAAATCCATACTCACTGAATTTAAAATTTCAATTTTAAATAGAGCAGTGATATATTGATAATTTTTTTAAATAATTTTTTTTATATGTAATTAAATGAATAAATATATTTAATATCACGGATTTCAAATGAATAAAAAAATTAATTACTTTAATAACATATAAAATTATAAAAAAAATAATATAAAAAAATTATTCATAAATTATTTTCCTTTTATATAAGCCATTGAGATGAAGATTCAAACCGTTACCATATACCAACCAGCTAAAAAAATAAAACCAAGACTTTATTGGACTTATCTAAATCATCTTTTACATTTCGCACTTCAATGACAAATATTTTAACCAATAAATAAGGGAAATAATTTATTTTTATAATTCTACATCAAAAAAAGGTTATTTCTATGGTTAGGAGGGCATTCAAACCCGCCATTAAGGATTATGCAACTTAAAACACTACTAAAATCCCTCTTTTTAGCAATCAACCATTAGCATCATGGAATTGCTTGTTGGTGATATAGATTTTCACCAAGAAGCTCCATGTTGTTGATACTTATAAATTAGCCAATTTCTCAAAAATCAACTCAACTTTCAACAACATGCCTCTTGTTACTGATAGTGAATTTCAATAACAAGGTCAATGTTGCTGAAAATTTTGATGTATTTCTCTGACTAGGGTGAATGGCCTAAACTTTCAACAACATGCTCCTTGTTGCTGAAAGTCATGTTGCTGAGAGTTTAGGAGCACCCATACCCAAAAAAAGTGAAATTAACTTTCGGCAATAAAATGCATCTTGTTGAAAGTTAATATCAGCAACAAGGACTATGTTGTTGAAATTTTGATGTAATTCTTCGGTTGGGTTGATGGCCAAAACTTTTAGCAACAAGGAGCATGTTGTTGAAAGTCACTTTTAGCAACATACTCCTTGTTGCTGATGTTGTACCTATGATTTTGATGATTACAAAACACATTTGAGTGACTAATTGGTTTATTTAAGTGTGTAGTTAAGTTGCTAAAAGATTGCAAGTAAACTTGGATTGCACTAAAAATAGACCAAAAAGATTCAAAATGTGCAGAGAGCCGGCTTCAGCCGGCTTTGGAAGTTGAAGCCGGCTCTACGGGCAAAAATTTGAAGACTGTTGTTTGGTGCGTGCGGAGAAAAGACGCAAAGCCGGCTCCAACTTTACAGCCAGCTGTGAGGGTGCATTTAATGCACAACGGTCGACTCTTTTGAAGAGTATTTAATGTATTTAAAGTTAGAGTTCTAAAGCCGGCTCAAAGGTTTGTAGCCAGCTTTGAAGAAAAACAGAATGTGTAGGAATCCCATAAAGCGGGCTGTAGAAATGGTGAGCTGGCTGTACAGAGCCGGCTCTAGGAAGTTAAGCCGGCTCTCCTAACAATCCTGCAACTCAAGCTTTGCGTCCTACAGGACATTTAATGACCCTAAACGGCTAGAAATGACTATTTTCAAGCAAGTGGCTATAAATATGGTTGGTAACAGATCTGAAGAAGTTTAGAGAGTATTGTATTGAATATCTTTACCTACCTACATGAGTTTTAACTTGAGTTTTTGATCTTTGAGAGATCTTTACTTATAATCCTCTTCTTGTGCTATTAGTGAGTAATCTTGGAGGTGTGTTGATTCCTTCAAGAGTGATCTATTGAGAGGATTTGTGGAGTTTACATTGTAAAGGGGTGAGATTTGAGAGAAACACCCTTATTCTTGTAAAAGGATTAAGTGGCTCTTTTAAGCCACCCTTGTTGTTGTTAGTGGAGAGTGGAGGAAATCCTTGGTGAGTGAAACTAAGATAGAGGACTAGGCTCCATGTGGTTGGACCGAACCTCTATAAATCATTGAGCAAGCTCTTCTTCTCTACTCTCTTTAATTTGGGTGTTGTGGTTGCAAAAAGGGGAGAATTTTTGGAACTCCAATTCACCCCCCTTCTTGGAGTACATTGAGTCAACAGCTGATACCTACATAGCACCCAAATTTGGAGCACCAAGAGTGGATTCTTTTGGTGGAGAGTCGACTCTGTTCTGTACTAAAATGTTTCCTTGTTTTTTGGAATTTTGGAGTCGATTCTTGGCTTTTTAGAGTTGAATCTAAAACTCACAAGAGTCAAAATTAGACTCATAGATTCTATTTTTTACTAGAATTCACAATTTTTTTAAGGTTAAATACCTTTTCTAGTCCCTCTACTATTGAAAAACCTTTTTTGGTGGGCCGGAGAGTGATAATACTGATAAGAATGGTAAGTTCGGCTTCCAAACGGCTCCTATTGGGATGAATTTGGGACATAACATTACCGGGCATTAATTATGATCCAAGCCCACAATTGGAAAAGAAAGACACGAAGGATCATGCGGCACTCAGTTTTTGAAAGGAATTGGAAGTGAAAGTGAAACGGGCAGTTTTTTTTTTCCTTTTAGTTAAAATGTCAATTTAATCCCTCAGCTTCCAAATTTGTACACAAATTGTCTTTAAACTTCAAAAAATTATCAAATTATCATTGAACTTAATTGTTTTAGTACCAATTCCATCTTTCCATTAGTTAAATGCTGACTTGGACTATGAAATTCAAAATAAGAAGAAATCAATTTTCTTTTATTTCAAATATTACATGCAAAATTTTATATTAATTTACGATGAGATGGATCTTTTTGTCAGCATTCATGTGAATATAGGAACTATTTGATCCAAAATATATAGTAAAATGATGATTTGCGTCTAAACATTAAATTATATATCTAATATTTTGTATCTAAACATAAAATTCTAATTAAAATGATGTTTCGAGACCATTTATTTTCAATAGTTAATTTTGTGGGTGGACCATAATCATGATGGGAATAGTTTTGTAATTTGGTTAGTTTAATGTATTAATTAGTTAGTGGTCCCTAATTTATGTAAGGTTAAATGAACCATTTCATTTTCCACATCATCCATTCAATTTGAAAAATAAATATTTCAATTTAAAAAGTTGCCATCTCAACTCTTTTGAATTTCAATGTCAGCCATAGAAATTAAAGAAGATGAATTATTTGATAGAAAAGTTGGCAATTGCAACATTTAACTGATGGAAGAATGAAATTTGTACTGAAAAATCAAGTTTAAGGATATTTTTAGTATTTTTTTAAGTTTAAAGAAATTTTTGTTCAAACTTTTTTGTTTAACTTTTATATATTATTAAATAAGTTGATATAAATAATATCATAAATTTCAATAAAATGAAAAGAATTAATTATTAAATAATATATAAACTTGTATGAAAAAATTACACAAAAAGTTACCTCCAAATTATTTTCTAATTCGATGCTATTTTCCAAGTAAAAAAATTTAACTAAAACTAATTTTTCTATCTATTTTGGGTTTAATATTATTGCTGAAAAATATTTTTTAGTGGACTAATTTTCTTATTTTCCCTTGATTGTGTTGTCCTATTTAGATTTCATCAAACTAGTTATTAGGTGTTAATCGTTATATTTACTAGTATGTTTTTGTCTTCTTTTGGGGGGGATTGATATTTATGAGCTTGTTATACCTTG